GTGAGCACAATATGTTCTATCGTAATTTCTAAGCGGCAAGTACAATATTGCTGATCCTGCTTTAAAGTATACCAAATTCCAACCAGGAACCAGAGGATGTTACATGGTAGAGACATTCTACACTCCTCTATTCTATCTAAATCCGGTGACAGATTGTCTGCTACCTGAAGAATCCAAGAGCTGGTAATTTTCGTTGCGAATTGTCACAACAATGAGCTAATCCATGCCTGACCCCCCGTTCATTGTCACTTGAACTGTCGTTAACATGCTATTCATAACGCTATACGAAATGAACAGCAACAGTGGGGAGGCCGTCTTGTGTCATATGCGCATCGTATGTTGCATCTGACCTGCTAGGAATTGCATCAATGTCTGCTTCCATGAAATACGCAATTTTCTTATGAGAACTGGCCTCCAAATGTAGTAGTTTTCGAATGCGGGTAACGTGGCATGCAGCACATAAATCTCTACGCAGCGCGGAGACCTGTTTGACTCATATCTCACCATAGAGCTCTGAGTCAGAACAGGTTTCCGCGCTTTTCCATTGCGTACTTAAAAACGGTTGTGTTCAAGCGCCTTGCATGTTAGCGTCATTATATGATATCTTACTTTCTTTTTACCAAGCTGGAATGTCGATTACAAGGAAAATTTTCTGACTTTTTGTTTTAAAAAATAGTCTCTTCGACAGCTTCAGTACGATGAAGTTCCGTTTTGAAACGAAAACAGGGTCTGAGCTGGGATCGGCTGGAGACAAAACTCCATCTATCTAAATGGTTCCGGGGCTTAGCAGAAGAGAGATGATGAAGCGGAGCGACGCGGTGTTTTTAACACGCGCTCGGACGGGGGTCAAACTGACACCCGAAGGTTTTTCCAGAATGGTCTCCAAACGACGCAGTGCAGCCGCGCCAAATTTTGCAAAGCTGGAAGCAATTGAAAAGCGGATCGCTTGGTACTGCAAATTTAGATGTGCCTTATAAGGTCGCTGACCTACTGAGGTCAAAGTCAGGCCATGGATTCGACGAAGTCAATTTGTAGGGAATCGTTCTATCTGATGTAACAACGGAGTGTCAGACAAGACCATACGTCTCTGAGATGCTTTCTTAGGCAACGCACTAATTGAGTGAGCAAATCCCATTGACCTAAGGTCAGCTTTGAAGGTCAGACCAATGTCAAAGCCAATCTGTTTTATAACTCCACGGTTTGTTGTGTGGGGTAGTCCCTGGTGCCCATTTCGGATTTATTGATAACAGGAATCGCATTGTATATCTTTCATGCACTTCTCAAAGGTCAAAATAGATCACTGACCCAAAATGACCCAGATCAACACTTTGTTTTAAGGGACATGCTGCCCAGCGTCATCATTAACGTTTATTCGAATGCAAAACTGAAAGCGGTTGTTTATGATTTTGGTCATTGAGACCTTTGAAAGGTCAAACAACTTCACTGACCTTAAATGATCCTGGGTCCTTTTGTTTACCGAACAGGTATTTAGGTTCTGGGGGCACTTTGGGGACTGACCAGAATATTGTCCTTGTTTGACATTATTTGAACTGAAGGTCATGACCTAGGACCTTAAAACTTTGACCTGGATGAGTTCAGGTACAGGCCAACACACACTGTAAATTTGCTGCCACTAGCTCTCTTAGTTCCTGAGATCTCAGTGGAGTCAAACTGACCCCCACCCGAGGGAAGGACATCCGACCTGCCACCCGGGCGCGTGTTGATGACCTTTTAGGTGCCATTTTGTGCCCAAGGGAGATTTTTAATTTCGCTGTAGGCTTTCAAGTTTCAAATGACTGGGCCCGTGAAATCAGGAGCGGATCCAGGTTTTGTCAACAGCGGGGGCGCGCAACATTGTGGGCCCCCTAAGGTTTGGGCCCCTCCAAAAAATATTTGCATTTCGGCCATTAAATTGTATGATAAACGACATCTTTAAGTATCGACAGTACTACAAAGTAATACAACATAGGTAGCACAAGATAAAAAAGTGTCACACACTTAATAGTCTAGGAAAATGACAAATACATATTGGGTGGCAAAACAAATTACCTTCAACAACTGTGTCAAAATTCATCGGCGCATATCCGACCGCTGCTCTAAGGCTAAGGCACCAAGGCTCCTAGGGACGGAACCTGAGCGATCATGGGTGCCGCGAGGGGCCACAAACAGGCTCCCGTCAACAAGTATAGGCTCCTTATAGCAAGTGAGAAGAGTCCAAGACCAACGTGGTGGGCCCATGAACGATCGGTAGTGCCCCGGCTGGCTAACATATGGGACCCCGGCCAGAGCACGCGGCCCTCTGAGCAAAGCAAAATCACGGAAGACCAGTGCAATGAATGAATGAATGAATGAATGAGCGATCAGGAGTGCCCAGGCAGGTTAAAAGAAAGAGCCCCGGTAGGAGTGAAGGGTTCCCGCAAATGCGATCAAAGGGAAACAGCCCTAGCTCAAAGCCGAGGGTCCCTGAGCATTGCGTGGTTCGGTACCTTACCTTATATTAGCCCCAGCAATAGCACAAGGCCCTTCGAGCAAGTGGAAAGAACCCGATACCCATGTGAAGAAACCTGAGCAACTGGGTGAATCTTGGCAGATTGCGCCCCAGAAAAGGCGTATGAAGCCTTTCAGGTGCAGTGTTCTTTTGTTTGCTTGTTTTTTGCTTGTTTGATAAGAGCCCTTTCGACCAGTATTGATCATTTCAGAGCTATGGGGTGAAGGAGACTGGATGACGGTGAGGCAGGTCTACACGCGCCAGGAGGGCCAACCGCAGAACTAAGCATGCGCGAGGATCCTCTGGGAGAGGGAGCGGGGGGGGGGGGCGGGATACGCGCTGAGCTCCCGGTCGGGCTCCCATTCAACACTTTCTCAATCAGCGAATAATTTATGTTGTCTGTCCATGGACTTTTGACTTGCACCTTAACCTGTTCTTGTTCGTTTGTGGGCCCAAAGACGTCAAATTTTGTTGTGTTTTGTGTTTTAAAAAAAAAACTGCGTCCGTTCGGGAGGTTTTGAGCCTCGACGGAGCCTCTGGATCCTCTCAGGGCCAAAGGGGCATGGTCCCGTGCCCTCGTGTTTCCTCCCCTCTGCATCCAACGCCGGCCCAAGCAGCTTCATAGGTGGGGCACCGCCAAGAACATGGGGCTTTCCACTCCCACTCAAATAAGAAACACCCAAGACACAGCATGGAGGGCCCTGGAATGGCCCAGTGTGCCTAAGCAGGTTGACAAATGTGTGTGTGGGGGGGGGGGGACTACACCCCGTAATATGGAGTGTACCCGAGCATTCCAGGTGTGTGTGTGTGTGTGTGTGTGTGTGTGTGTGTGTGTGTGTACAAATATGTAAATATCAGTGCACCCAGATATCAGGTGGCCTCTGACAGGAGCGTAGGACACTAAATTCAGACACCAAGACCCAATGTTCAGCATCCCCAAACAATCCAGTGTAGCCGAGGAGGCGAACAGAGGGGGGCCCTGACAAGCACGTGGTGCCCTCCATTTAAGTAGGAAGTACCCAAGACACAATGTGAAGGGCTCCCGGACGATCAAGTGTGCTCGAACAGGTAAACAACTGGGTCCCGACAAGAGGAAATAGCTTGTTGCAAGGAAATAGCTTATCGCCTTGTTGCCGAGGTTACGTCGGTTTTTTCCACAGCTGGCCAGGCTAGTCTGACTTCAAAGTGTGCCGACATAAACAGGAGTAGATTCTTGCGCAACGCCGCTTCCTCGCCCTGTCGCCTCCGTCATGGCAACTCGGGCTCATTGGAGCGACGCAAACAAGAAGGCGGGGTGCATGCAGACATGCTGGCCTCCGGCGGCCCCCCCCCCCCCTGCTCCAGAGGGGAGCGGAGGGCGGGGTGATTGGTCTGCCAACTGGTAGACCGGCCGACCGGACGGACGGCGCGCGCGATCCACGTGCTGACGACCAACTCAAGGGCACTAACGGTACCAAATGAAATATGCCCATGCTTTGCACGTAACGTAGGTAGTCCTTACATAGTCGGGATTACCAGCTGAGTGACAAGCAGCGTACATGCAATTGCAGCGATAATATAAGAAGAATGAAAATATGATAAATAAAGTAACAAGGAATCTCAAAAACAGCCTAATGTATAAGCAGTCAGGTCGTGCAGATGCACTAAAAATTGCACGTAAAGACGTCAGGTTGCAAAAATTGCGCGGCTTTTAAGTGGCCTTAAAATTTTGGACACTGCCGATGATGACATGGCTTTAAATTCAATATGCCTAGACGCCTCGGATGGTTTCCGGAAACTAAGGATTCGATACAAAAGGAAAAATGGTCACTTTACTCCAACAGCTTTCAGGTACGACGTCATAGGTTAGTATTCCGATATCACCTGGGTAAGATTTTTCGTCGACGAAAACACACAACGTATGTATCGTAGCTGAGCGAAATTTCACGTCGTTATCGTTCATCTGGCTGGTGGCCTTAATTGTCGCTGAGACAATGAAAAATAAACTTCTGCCCTTATCTGCCTTTGTCCGACTGGGAGGTGGCATCAACCCTTTATCCGGAAAGGGTCAAAGATCGTCAGCCTGTGACGTCACTCGATTACCGGTCCCCGGGGACAAAGCCGCCGGCTGGTTATCGCCGCCGGCGTCAGGCGTCACCGGCTGATGACCATCTGCCGTGACTCACCTCAACAAAGAGTACAGGGGCGAGAAGAGCATCCTGCACTACCTGTGACACCGGCCACGGCACCCAGCCCTGCCCGGAGCAGGGAGCGCGGAATCAACCGCGCTCGGCTGTGCACACACATGCAGGTGCTGATGGCGTAATCGGTGTCAACCTTTGTCGGCAGCCGAGGCCGGTAAAGCCTTCCCAGCCGGGGGTCGGACCGCACTCCCCTGACCGAAATCCCGCCCATCAAGGCTCCTCGGACCCGTCCGGTCCCTGCGCGGGGCGCTGCCAGGCCGCGCATGCCTGGGCGCGCCACTGCGCAACTGCACAGCTCATGGAACGGGCCTCGGAGCGGGGCAAGCCAAGGGCAGACGAGCCCGACCAGGCTGCAGTGAGCACGGCCCAATCGCGCTCAACACGGGGCGAAGGTGGCGACGCCTGGCGGCAGCCGACACGCCCCGTAACAGGTAACGCTAGTTTTGGGGAGAGTGGTGCGTGTTTGGGGAGAGTGGTGCGTGTTTGGGGAGAGTGGTGCGTGTTTGGGGGCTGTCATTCGAGCGTCCGCTTTGGATGGGGTATTTGTGGTGTTGCGTGTGTGCAGTAAGCCACGTCATATGCTGCGGCTCAACTTGGTTTCCGAAATTTGTTTGTCGAACGCTTCTCTATAGGTTGATTTGGGGCGTGTGCTTAACTATTATGCCGATACTGAAGAAGCTTTTCATGTTTAACCATGGGTTTAACCATTGGATTTACTCTGGCCAGAGTTAGTTGCTGGTGAAAGTCAAAGCAAAGCTTGCGTTTACCAAATGCTTCCACTCACCATTAATGCAATGATGGAGGTAACGTGAACTAATATTCAAGGAACAAACACAAGAGAGCTTTCGCTCGTAATTTTCGTCACGCTCCCCGACCCAGATGCTGTTGCGACTTGTGGTGACTGAGCCCGCACGCGCTGTGCGAGTGCGTAATTCTGGTGCCGTGGGTAATTGTTTTCAAGACCCTTTGCACAGACCCGACCGTGGAGGGCGCTTTACCCAGACCCGACCGTGGACCGCCCTTGTCGCTTCCGTGCCATGCGACGACAAAGCCGGCCGCCATTACTCACCCATACTCCGGCTAGCGTCAGGCCGTCCTCATCGGGTTCTGGCACTTCGCCAGATGTTTACTCATTGCTGCGCGAAACAACGCCACTGTGGGTTAATCCGAAGGCCACTGCATCTTTCCCCTGGGAGTTTGCACTAGATTGACGCCACTGTTGACACCACCTATCGCTGAATAACGTCAGAAGTATCTGCAGAGGTGTACGTGGTGATGACCTTTCTGCAGAGGCGTACGATGGGCTGTGACCTTTCTGCAGACGTAAACGGTGGGTTGCGACCTTTCTGCAGAGGTACACGGTGGGTTGCGACCTTTCGGCAGGGGTACACGGTGCGTTGCGACCTCTCTGCAGAGGTACACGGTGGGTTGCGACCTTTCTGCAGAGGTACACGGTGCGTTGCGACCTTTCTGCAGAGGTACACGGCGCGTTGCGACCTTTCTGCAGAGGTACACGGTGGGTTACGACCTTTCCGCAGAGGTACACGGTGGGTTGTGACCTTTCTGCAGAGGTGTAGAATGGGTTGTGACCTTTCTGCAGAGGTGTACGGTGGGTTACGACCTTTCTGCAGAGCTACACGGCGCGTTGCGACCTTTCTGCAGGGGAACACGGTGGGTTGCGACCTTTCTACAGAGGTACACGGTGGGTTGGACCTTTCTGCAGAGGTGTAGAGTGGGTTGTGACCTTTCTGCAGAGGTACACGGTGGATTGTGACCTTTCTGCAGAGGTACACGGTGGATTGCGACCTTTCTGCAGAGGTACGCGGTAGGTTGTGACCTTTCTGCACGGGTACACGGTGGGTTGCGACCTTTCTGCAGAGGTGTGCGGTAGGTTGTGACCTTCTGCAGAGGTGTGCGGTAGGTTTTGACCTTTCTGCAGAGGTACACGGTGGGTTGTGACCTTTCTGCAGAGGTGTACGATGGGTTGTGACCTTTCCATTCTCTGGGGTTGGCCCTCTTATCATCATTTATTGTACATGGCCTCCGCCTGACGCTCTTTCTGGCCAGAAGTCAGTACAATACACAACACAAACACAAGGCCAAGTGACCATGTGCCCTCCTATGTGCCCTCCTATGTGCCCTGCTATGTTGCCATGCGGTACTTTCATGTGACGACCCCGGCTTGCTCGCCGCCTGTCACAGCCTCCTGACCATGGTGTATTGGATCGTTTGGCTGGCCCGGCATGAGCGGTCGGTGAGCCACCCACTTGTTTGGACTCAGCGCACCCACCGCAACCCAGCAACAACAGCACGACTATCTCCCGTCCGCCGGAAGACCCGGCTTCTCTGCAGACCTCCCAGCGCGCGGCCACCGTCATGTTTCAACATGCTGCGGCTCAGTGCATCCCGAGTTGTCACAGCTTCCCCTTTTCCGTCCCCCCCCCCAACCCCGCCGGCCCCGGGAGCCTGCAGCGGCCTTCAGCCGCGCGCCGGCGGGAATCCCGCCATCCGGCCCGAGCACAGGCATAAACCTCACCCGAGCACTGGCACGTACACCCCGCCCGAGCCTGGTATAAATCCCACCCGAGCAAAGGTACAAACCCCGCCCGAGCACTAGCACAAAACCACCCCGAGCAAAGGCATGAACCCAGCCCGAGCACAGGCAGAAACCTCACCCGAGCACAGGCATGAACCTCACCCGAGCACAGGCATGAACCCAGCCCGAGTACAGGTACCAACCCCATCCGACCACAGGTACAAACCCAGCCCAAGCACTGTCATAAACCCCACCCGAGCACTGGCATAAACTCCGTTCGAGCACAGGCATAAGCCCAGCCCAAGCACAGGCAGAAACCCAGCCCGAGCACAGGCAGAAACCCCACCCGAGCACAGGCATAAACTCCACCCGAGCACTGGCACATATCCCACTCGAGCCTGGTACAAACCCCGCCCGAGCACAGGCACAAACCCAGCCCAAGCACAGGAACAAACCCCGCCCGAGCACAGACATAAACCCAGCCCGAGCGCAGGCACAAATCCCCTCGAACACAGGCATAAGCCCAGCCCAACCACTGGCACAAACCCAGCCCAAGCACAGGCACAAACCCAGCCCGAGCACTGGCACAAGCCCCGAGCCGGGTTGCCGTGTGAGATAAGCACGTAAGGGCATGACCAACGTTGGAGGAGAGAAGCGTGCAAAAATATTTATTTTATATCTTGTCTTGTTATTCCGCCAAATGAAGATACGTGGCAAAAACTGAGTTGAACTATATTTCTCGCTGAAGATCGCGTGGCTCAGGCATGAAACTTCGGACACCTAACCCAGGCAGCAATTTCGGTCAGATTCCATCCGTCGTAGCCCGTCCGGTACTGAACTTTCTTGTTAGAAAATGTTCATGGATCGGCTTCGAAAGTGAGAATCTTTGGCTGATATTTCCATTTCCTAGCCTGTTTTCAGCCGCTTCTCAATATTTTCTATGTCTGGAGTTTTCCTCTAACTGCATATGATGGTTACTCACTGAAAAGTGCGTATCCCAAAGCATATCCAACATCTCACGACAACCTTTGCCCAAACAAATTGCTGGCTGGAACGTTGTGGGACGGTCGTGACATCCACGTGACGTGGCCGGGTGTTTCGTTTTATCGTGCCTCTGCGTCGTCCCACAGAGACCATAACTAGTCGAGGTCACTTAAAACACGAATCGCGAGCTTGGTTTTCGGAATTATTTCAAGAGTCACACCTGCTTATGTCACATGCTCCAGCAAGTATTGCAAACACGGCATTTGCCAAAAGGGTGGCCTGTGTAGCTCGTTTAAAACATTGGCTGCGTCAGCGTCATCAATAAATGAGCCACAGGTGTCGTGCATCAATGGCGCCAGCAATCTTGCATTGTTTGTTATTTGAGCCGTGAGGCGAGTTGGCGGCGATGACTACTTCATCCCCTTCCACTTCAGCGGAGAGATATCCATCATCGCCTTCACTCGTGGTGTGAAGCTCGGATAGTGCAAATGCGTAGACTTGTTATATTAAATGTTATACTTATATGGATACGGATGTGCCACGTATATGTGCATATAGATATCCGTAAGTTAGAATGTATAAGACAACCATCCTCTTATAAGCACAGCTGGTTTTATGCTAATGCATGGAAACCTGGCTCTTATTAACTGCTAGTGAAGGCCAATTATGTCTTGATGTTACAACCCACTGTAACGATATGCTATAAACATATAAGAGAGAGAGAGAGAGAGAGAGAGAGAGAGAGAGAGAGAGAGAGAGAGAGAGAGAGAGAGAGAGAGAGAGAGAGAGAGAGAGAGAGAGAGAGAGAGAGAGAGAGAGAGAGAGAGAGAGAGAGAGAGAGAGAGAGAGATATATATATATATATATATATATATATATATATATATATATATATATGGAGGATGGAGTTGTAGATGGCTTACATCGTGCGTCGTGTTGCCCTGCAGGAGACGATCACTGGCGCCCCTCGGAGTCACTTGGCTTCCTGCACAGCCATGGCTAGTGGCTCGCACTCAGATGCGGAAGGTGAGTTTGGACTCGACGAGGAAAGTCCTGCACATAGTGAGCTATGGCGATAACCGGACATAAAGTCAAAGGCCTGGAAGTCAAAGGACAGCACGTCAAACGTGAAAAAATCATATTTGAAAAAGTCAAAGATATATCCAAGTCACATGCAAAGCGTGCCTTTACCAAAACGAATAGCAGAGGTGAATTCCAATAACGCTACCATTCCTACTACCATTTAAGCCAAAGGGGCTAAAGGTTACAGGAATGAGCGTCAAAAGAAAAAGGAGTGAAAGGAAGTTAAGGCCAGCGGAGGCAAGCAAAATGGACAAAGTCAGCAAAACAATGCTTCATGTTTGTTGAATTTCATAACGTCATGCGTAACGTGATGCCAAGAACACTGATGTTTCCAACTTAGGCAGGTACCAGGATCGTGCATAAGTCGGTCGAGCGTAGTCTCCCTTGCCTGTCGGCTCCTTGTCAGCAACAGGAGGGGGGGGGGGGGCGTTCGGGTATTTTTACAGGGTTCATTTATGAGTTAAGAAATCCCTTGCTCAGTTATAAGCCTGCAATATACAAAAAGGCACTTGCTAAACGACGCTGTAGTGCAAATATTGGTTGGTAAGTTAGTATCCTATCATCCTTATCCTTATCTCATTATGCATCACCCTTATCTCTCGGAGAAAAACCAGAGGAATGGAAATATGGATGCACCGATATATCGGCAACATGCCTTTATCAAAACGAATAGTAGAGGTGAATTCCAATAAGGCCGTTACTACTGTCTGCTCTATGTGAATAATGTTCCTCGCAAATGCGCTTAACAACGTGCAAGCACTGGTTGTTTGGATACCACTGGATGCTTCAAGCGGTGCTCCGGTTTTCAAATCAACATTTATCCATGGTCATCAATGTCTGGCTGTCAAACAGTAGATAACAGACCAGACCATACTGAAAAGAACTTCTGCTGATTTTCACGGCTTGACCGTCTGCTCTAGAATACGCCTGTCCACTAAGGTAACGCTTGAAAATGAGAGCGCATATGATTGGTGTGAAATTATCATCGTGATGTGCTTTCACCGCCCTCAGTAAACCTTTCATATGGTATTTTCTTGCCCTTCCTAGATCACAAAACCACTGGACCAAAGGCGGTAGCCAGTTTCTCCTAAGTAAGGAAGTACGCTAGATACAGTTTTGAGAAGTAGAGGTAGTTTGCTGTCGAAGGTTTATTTGCCTTCTTCCAACTTAACAAAGGAAAAACTTAAAAACCTCTCCCCCCAATCTGCAAGGATGCCCCCATAACTAATGCTACATGTTGGCCGAAAGCAAAGCAATTTTTGTGGCAAGGATGTTCTGAATTTGAAGGGGTCTAAGCAAGTAAGTTATGAGGTACCACATAACGAAAACGTTGCGCGTCAAGACACTTTATATCGTGCATAGAGCCATTCGAATCCCAATCTGGGACCCCTCTGCGCCCTCCGCACATTCACCAAGCTGTCAGTCAACTTGGTCCCACTGGCCAAGTGGGGGCGGGGCCTGCACCCCCTGGACGAACAACTGACCAAGAGCCCTTAGTGCATTCCTAAGCGGTACGAAGCTACGGACTAGGGTGTCTGGCCAGGATAGGTGTGTTTTGATTCACTCCTTGCTCTCCTTTAAACCATTTTGCTCACATCCTTTTTACCGTCTGCCTAAAAGATGTTTTGTCTATTTAGACAAAACTCCATCTTTTTGCCTTTTCTGCTTTTACCCATCTACATTTTATCACTGAGCTTGTTCCTGTTTGGCGTCTTGCTTTTGAATTTTATTTCTTGGACTTTTTTCCGTTTGACTTTTATCCATTTGACTTCTTGCATTTTTGAGTTCTTGCCATTCGACATTTATCCCGTCTGGCTTCTTGCCGTTTGACGTCTTGCCATTTTTGCACAGGGTTCGACCCTTTGCCATTGGTCATTTTCTCCCCTGCCTTTTGCGTTTTCTAGTTCTTTGTTAAAGAACAAATGATGGCACCCGTTACGCTATTTTGCACATCTATCCTATGTGGGGACTCACTACTATGTGAGGACTCACTACTATGTGGGGACTCACTACGCCGAGAGAATACCCATCGGAGGACGGCTCTGCGTCCAAATTTTTGCTGACCTAACCGAAGTGTGAGTTGATGAGCCGCTCGTGCAGTGCTCGATCCGCGGCCATATTCGATGGGCGAAGTGCCGTCACACTCGCAAGTTGGCTGGTTGAGACCGCCGCTGCCGTTTGGTAAGTTCCTAATCTGACCTCCAACATCCTCAGACGGGCTGATGGTGGAATTTGCCTCCCTGCAGCTGCAGGACAAACCGGACAAGCCTCCGAAGCATTATCGATGTGGCGTGTGTCACGAGATAGGACAACATTTCATCAACTTCTGTCCACAAGTAAGCCCGGGTGTCACACGAGTGTCATCTCCTTCACTCCAGTGTCATGCGACGCAATGTGGACATCAACCCAAAGGCGAACGTGTGGCACATCCGGCGAAATTCCGAGTCAGTCACCAGCGACTCGTCCTGAGTCTTCACGGCCCGTTTGCTTCGTCCATGGCAGGCAAGTCCAGAATCAATCCACACTGGACTAGACGCATCCAGATGCGCCTAGTCCAGTCGCAGACGCATCCAGACGCGTCCAGTCCAGTGGCACAGACATCCAGATGCGTCCGGCCCAGTCTCAGACGCATCCAGACGCGTCCAGTCCGGCAGCGAACTTTGATGGGGTTGCTCATCAACCGTTTTACAACGCCAAGCGAGTGCGGCCGACGTTGTCTTTCGCCGGCGCTCGCTGCCCCGCTTTTGTTACTCTGTCTGTTATACTGGTGACGTTCCCACGCCTGCCGCGCGGTCACGTGCTCATGTATCGCTTGCGATCTGCGTGTCGCGCAAAAGAAAAGTAGTGGTAGTCCTACATAATGTTGTAAGGGGCTGAGCAGTTAGATACGAATCACCTCCCCCACAATACGCCAACAGACGGATGTTCCTCTGGATTTGGCTCGCTTTCTTCTCAAAGTTGAGAACGGAGGCTGGAGCCAAAGCGGGGCGTGGGCTGAAGCCAACGTTGTTGAGGGGGGCGAGCTGAAGTCCCCAACTGAATAACGACTGCACCGCTTGTGTTTGGTCTGTGTCGCCAGGCGCTGAAGACTGGCGTGAAAACGCCGTACCAAGGCAAGCGGCGTGCGTTCGGCGAGTACCAGTGCTGCGAATGTCGCCGTCTCTGGCAGTCGAGTCGCAGCTGGGCCAACATGGCGCAGGAGTGTCAATCTTGCCGCATTCGCATCTATCCTCATCGGCAGGTGACGTCACACGAGCCGCCACACGCGGGTCACACAGGTGATATCGCACGGAGCGACGCACACAGATCACACCGGTGGTATCACACGAAGCGGCGCACACGGGTCACACAGGTGATAACACACGAAGCGGCACATACGGGTCACGAGGGTGACATCACACCGGCTGCCAGGCAGTGAGCGGAGACCATAACCGGGAGCATACCAATTGTTACGACCGAGCCAGCTGATCAGTCATGCCAGTTGTTAGCACCGGCCATCTGACCGGTCATGTCAGTTGTTAGGACCGGCCATCTGACCGGTCATGACAGTTGTTAGGACCGGGCCATCTGACCGGTCATGTCAGTTGTTAGGACCGGCCATCTGACCGGTCATGTCAGTTGTTAGCACCGGCCATCTGACCGGTCATGTCAGTTGTTAGGACCGGCCATCTGACCGGTCATGCCAGTTGTTAGGACCGGCCAGCTGACCGGTCATGCCAGTTGTTAGGACCGGGCCAGCTGACCGGTCATGCCAGTCGTTAGGACCGGCCAGCTGACCGGTCATGCACGGCGGTGCTAAGACTCCTTCAAAGTAAGGAGGAGGTGGGATATCGGGGTCTGAACTTTTGTAATGCGAGCGTCGACTCGACCCATTGTTTTCGTTTAACGGACACCGATCCCGCTAAATCAATGTACGGCTGAGCTTTTGGCCACATTTCTAGGGGTTAAAAAGCTACCAATTTACAGGACATGATTGTCGACAAAAGTGGACTGTTTTGCGAGCTATTTGTTAGGAAAATCGCGAAGATGGAAGCTAATTACAATAGACCATTCCATTTAGACGAAACTCAGTCTAGCATTGGTCTATAGTTATACCCACTGACGCATGCAGCGAGCTTTAGAGAGCAGAGGTCGAAACATTGACGTTTTGCCTTATAACCAAGATGAACATGTTCCCAAACGAAGTAACTTAAAGGGGAGTGTTTCGATATGACAAATTAAGTTCTTGTATGCCAATCGGTATGATTTAAAGGGAGCATTCCACATTTGCATGGGGTTTTGAGCTGAAAAGCCATTTTGAAGATTATTCGTTGCAGTTTACAGCCCAGCCATCTTTAGACCTAAGCCCCTGCTATTTCTGTCAGTTTCATAGGATTGCCGACTTTGGGTGTAAAGCAACACCCTATAAGGGGGAATTTTTCACTCCTTTTCTCCCTATTTTATGTGAATTTTTCACTCCTGCCCGACATTGTCTAAACGCACATGCCAAACCCATATTTCCCTTTCTGAGGTTTTCAGATGCATCCAAAACCGAGCTCATCTGAAACCACCAAGCATAAACAAGGCTCCACAGAACTTAGACACCTATGGCTATGTGCTGCCTCACCTGCATCCGAATCATGTCTATGTATGCACCGAGCAAGGGCGCCAGGTACCTCCAAGCTCAAGAACCCCAGCGACTCCAGCCGCTTGCACGCATTAATTTTGACTTGTTTACAAAATGCATCACAATCGGCAGCTGTATGCCAAGTGCAACGTTTTCACGCATCCCCAATTTGTTTGGTATTACCACCACACCACGAAAGCAGGGCCTGATGCGAACACCAGCAAGGCCTGGCCTGGTAGATAATTTTACTCCACGTATTTTTTTTCGCGAGAAAACTTGACACCTAAATTATATCACTCACAAAATGCAGGAGTGAAAAGTTCAAGAAATGCCTTCTAAATCCAATTTACAAGATGAATATCACCATTTGAGCACTCATGTTAACAGATTCTAAGTCAAATCAGCTGATTGCAAAATTTGCCAAAAAGTATCAGACTTTATATTTACGTACCTACTTTTGTTTTTCTTGGTATCATACGATTGTGATACCACTTTATTCTTCCTTCCTTTTCGATCGCCTTTAGAGGTACCATCTCTTGATTAGAATGTTGGCCAATTTCTCTGCAAGGTGCTCCAACTGCAAACTTGCACGTATTTCATACATAAATTGGATGAATTGCCCGCCGCAAAGATATGCTTGATATGCACCCAAGAGTGAATAATTCACAGGGAATAAAGGAGACAATTTGAAGCACGGAATATCGATTCATCGCCATTTTTGCCCTGAAAAACCTTCGGTTAGTCGTTCTTTGGTTCATGGCGGTGCTCGATGATGATAAATCTAAGCCTTTTGACTGTCTAACTCACCAGGCTACCTGACAAGGTTATCCTAATGCTGCCATATAGAGCCTTGGGATAGACCTGACGCGGCTAATAGAGAAGTGTTTGATGGCGAAATTATGTCTTTTGGAGATGTTTATCATGCATGCCTCTTACTTGTTTCTCATTTTAATCTCGTAGGTTGGTGGGTATGATTGATATTTATATTTGGGGATGAGTGGGATGATTCTGTCTGCCATCAGACCATGCGAGAGGTACTGACTTTTTGTTTTGAGGGAGCAAGAAGATGCCAGTAATTCTCCTGTGGACAAAGTAATTGCTTACCTTACGTGCTTTCAACACATGATTGATAACCAGAGTTAGCCATTTTCTGTTTTAATCCATCGAGTTTGATCATAGGACAAATTATGATGCCACAAGGTATGCAATTGGCCTATTTTGTTCCAAATTCTTGATTACTTGCCCCAAATTTCATGAAGTGGTCCCTCATGGCTGCTTTAACCAGATGTTTTCTATAGTTGTCATAGTTTGCTGACTGTCAAATGACTGTACTGTATATATACACTATATTTGTAACACAGGGATGCTCTAAGCTGCATAGCAATTATAATATGAGGTAAATATCAGTATGTAACAAATAGTCAGACCATTCCATTTAAAATGTCAAGCCAACATCTCAAGCTTTGTCATTAAATATGAATAGACAGGTCTAAATAGATGCCTTTATTGCAGCTGAAAAGGCAAGCAGCAAAACTGGCATGGTCATCTAATGGCTATGTTACTTTTGGAGAAGAGAGATTGTTTTGTGGAGCATTCCCGTTATTGCCCTTGACAAAGTTAACCATGACAATCAAAATAAGTTGTTCAAAGTCATTTAAAGTGTTTTGATTTGTGTGCTGTCAACTTTGTCTGATGTCAACAACCATACACAAATGAGCTGAATAAAAATGCAAGTTGAAACCAGTCAAAAATTAGCTGTATCATGTTTTTATCACAAGTGCTGCTGTCAAAAGTTAGGTGAGTTGGGATGATGTTCAACATATAGGCATTGTAAGTTCAACATATGTAGAGTTGTTGCATGGCAAGTGGCAATAAGAATTGTGCATGAATCAGTAACTCGCAAGTGCTGCCGTGATACAAACAGGTTAGACAGGATGAGATGACGTAAGGCTCTTTAGGTCAGGCATAGTTAGGCTGCTTTCATGGAAATAAGTATCGGTATTTTGTAAGAAACAGTGACAAAATGTTGGTTTTCCCTGACCTCATCTTAACAGAAGCCAGAGGTAAGTCTATTGTGTTTGACTTGACGATGGGCTGACGTGTAGAAGTCCAAGGTTTTTTTCTGTTTGAGTGTTTTGTGCTTGTTGAATTTTCTGTTGTTATTTTGTTGTTTAATTCCTTTGCTTTCTTTTGCGTTAAAAGTGCTGTGGAAGGGAAGGGCAAACTGCAGCATCAGATTATTGGTGTTGATAATTTGTATGCTCATTACGCTGTCATGCAATTACTACGCTTTAATCGTATTCTGTTTCGCTTAAATGGCCTAAGATGTTAAAAAACAAAACAGTTTTGTCAGGTTTATGCCGTCCATGCCAACTCGAAATAGATGTCTTTGTTTGCTAAAGCAGCAGTCACTAGCTCACAAGTTTCATCTTTTGTGAATTGATTTTTTCACTCCTGCACGGTCTTTTTGCGATGAAATGTTTCACTCCCACCCTAGTTCAAAAGCGATTCTAGCTCACTGCTTCCTGAGCAACATGCCCGCGAAGATTTTGTGGAGACTATTTCGTGAAGACTATTTCGAGGTCACCCAGACATATATGACGCCACCACGTCATTCAAATCCCGCCATTCTATTGGTCGTGCGGCGATAAAGGTCAACAAAAATATGTTGTTTTTTCTCTGAGAAACAATACTATTATTACTTTCTTATCTTAGTCAATAACGTTCCTTGAAAATGCACTCAACAAGCCCGATGCTTTATGGCACATGCAGACTGTATGCAGACTGCGTGGTGTGCAGTTCATACCATACTTCCATTGTCAGTACCAACACAAGGCTTCATTTGTGAGACGTATGCGAGTACAGATCGCGCGTGCGTTTCCGTTGCGTGCATTGGCGAAAGCTAACGTCTGACCAATATTATATCTAGCATCACCGGACATCATAAGCATACATATTTACCGTGCGTATTGAAGACATAGGGCTGCCACGGGCGGATCTCAGCGACGCGCAGTGAGTTTTATGCCATGGTCTGTGTATGCCCTGCCGTTTTATGCTGCGACCAAAATTTTGCTCAGACAGCAGGCTTCCGTGTCAGAGCTATCCCGTGGCATTCAGCTTAATATATTTCGATATTCCAGGGAGATGGATAGGCAAATTTCAAAAGGTAAACAGGGTTTCAACGCTCGCACACATTCTGTGGCAATTTCTAGCCCTGCTTTTAGTAGGTTCCGGGTGATGACCTTGCTGTTAATGTCATGTTGGCTGCATTTTTGTTCTCGAAGCGTGTAATGTACTCTAGAAGAATGCACGCTCTCAAGGATTCGCCTGTTCGGGATAGCTGCACCATACCGTACGAAGTGATGGCTCACTTCACGAAATAGTTGTGTCAGATAATCCGAGAAAAAGTTTGATAAATACCTCAAATTTGAGAACCCTTGCGGGAATAAACTCTGATTTTCTTGACTTTGGCGTGCCGCAAGTCCCATGAGTCGGTATTTCAAGTTTAATACGAGCTCGGGTGGGGGGGGGGATTTGACCCCCAAAAACTTTTCCAGAATTAATTCCGAAAGGCGCGGCGTAGCTGCGCCAAACTTGGCATGGCTGTAGGCAGTTAAATGGCAGATCTTTTGGTGTAACAAATAAGGGTACCTCTTAAGGTGGCTAGCCTACGGAGGTCAAAGTCAGGCCGTTACTGTCAGCGAAGGCCTTTTCTAGGGAATCGTTCAATTTGATGCGGCAGCAGAGAGTAGGACGAAACCATCCATGCTTGAAATAGTTCCTCAGGCAATACACCAACTGAATGCAAAATTACAACAAATTCCATTGGTCTAGGGTCAGGTATAAAGGCCAATCCTAGGTCAAAACCAACCTGCTTTTTACTCTAGATCCTGCTTTATGGGCTAGTTTCTATCCACACGGACTTCAACAGACATCTTCCATGGGCCTTTTAAATGTCAGATGATATCACTGATCTAAAATGTTTTTTCCAACATAACGTTTTTAGGAACATACCACCTGGCGTAATCCCTGACGTTTGTTTACGGGCACAGTTTGTATGTACCTCACTATTTCAGGAGAACCTGATGCAGAATCAAATCCAGTCATCATGAAGTCCCTTATCCGAACCTCCTAGCCTCTTTCTCGGATGCGAGTAGCATGATGACGTCTCCCTCGCGCACCGGGCCTTGACGCTCTGGATGATGGTGCGGCCCGTCTCGTCCACGAGCTCCAGGCGCACCCGGGCGCACCAGCTCTGAGAGCCAGTGTGGTCCAGTACCTTCGTCGCACGTGCGAGCTGAACTGGCATGTCCATCCGTGACGCTTATTTTGATAGCAAAATAGCGGCAATCTCGTAGTTTCTATCGTCTTGACCTTCTGAAGGTCAAGCAAGACCGCTGACATTAGATGAACACCACTGAGCTTCTGCTTAGCAGAGGTATTTCAGTTCACAGTGCTTGCGTGAGGAGGTCTAGAGGCACTTTGGATACCATTCTAGAGTTTTGCCTTGTTTGACTTGATTTGACCACAAGGTCATGACCTAGGAACCTTTAAGTGTGATATGATTGAGGTTTCGCATCGACCAACCCATTTCGTAGATTTGATGCCTATCTTAGTTTCATAGATATCAGGGGAGTCAAATTGACCCCCACCCTACGCGAGCGAACAACATTCAACCGGCCACTTGGGCGCGTGTTAACAAGCTTCATGCGTTTGTTTCGATGTCGTGCGTCGCCTGTTCCCTGAAGTGACGATGAGAAGCTTACGCACACAAATTCTGACCTGATGATGACCTGGCGTGACGTGGCGCCAGCCGTACGCCTTAACGTGCAATGACATATATCACATTGCTTCCCTTGCCGCTATAGCACGCGTATTTCTGAGGGCAGCCAGGCCGGCTAAGTTTACCATCTTAAGAGGAGGATCAGGTTTGGTTCTATAGAGACCGCTTTCAATTGTTAACATTCCACTCATTTGATGTAGTTAAATGCGAGCTATGTGACGCTGTTTTTGGTGTCCACCGTGCTGTTACACCCTGTAATTTTCTAAGACACAGAGCGTGTTAAATTTTCCAGCTAAGCTGATAAAAACTTCATTCGACAAGGGCTTCGCCCGTTCGTTTGACAGAACAGGAGCGCATGTCGGGTTTAAGTAAGTGTGTGCTTGACGTGAGGTAAAATCCATCTCTCCATGCGTTCGCCAACCTCTCTCATCCGTTTAAGGCCGCCTAATCCCCGCGTGTCTGGACGGCAGCGCCCGTCTACGGTCGCACCCCGACCTGGGGTCGTCTCTCCAGCCCTGAAAGAGAAAGCGCTGTCGGGGTCGGCGCCGGGTGTTCCCTGGGCGGAGCCGGGCCGCGCTGCCGTGCCGCCGCCTGGCCGCCGTCAGCGCCGTGCCCCGGGACGCCGGGTGTTCCCTGGGCGGAGCCGGGCCGCGCTGCCATGCCGCCGCCTGGCCGCCGTCAGCGCCGTGCCCCGGGACGCCGGGTGTTCCCTGGGCGGAGCCGGGCCGCGCTGCCATGCCGCCGCCTGGCCGCCGTCAGCGCCGTGCCCCGGGACGCCGAGATGGTGCCCTCGGGCGCTCTCTGACACCGCGTGGTACTTGCACGAGGTCGTTATGATGTCATCGCGTGATCTGCGACCCGACGCTCCAACCCCGGGTCCGACCGCCGTCACAAAACGGCTCTGACAAAAGAAACAACAGCTTCTGTTGCGGAGACGAAGACAAAAGAACACGAACGAGATGCAGACTCAAGTTAGATAACACTGACTTTGACTTTTGGTCGATCGTATATTATGCCTCTGCACCAAATATCCTAAAATGCACCATGCCGTGTCAATATTGGCTCAAATCGGCGATTCCTGACAGCTGCGATGGAAAATTACAGTTTGTTACACATAATTTCCAACCATTTGGTTACGAATGGCTCGAGGAAGTGGATGATGGCATTGCTGCCGTCCACATGTGATGAGTGGTATGTATGGCTCAGTATACGCAGACACAGCCATCTTTCGCAGTCCTGGAGAAGCCAGTCATTTCGCACGTCGTGTCTAACAAGTTGTCGCACGTCGCGTCTTCAAACTAACAAAGCGTAGTGATGTAATGGCTTTGATTTGACACGTAATTATGCACCGAGCGCAGGGATGAAGTTTCGCAAAAGGAGTTGGGGGAGGGGGGCTGAACAGTGAAAAATAACCCAATCTGCCCCTAAGATATGCCGACAAACGGGCTTTTCCTCTTCTCTGCTCACTCTCTTCCCAAAGTGGGGGGGGGGGGGGGGGAGCTGAAGCCCCAACTGAAAAGGAAACTACGCCGCCGACCACGCGTCACCGCGCGGTGCACACGTCCCACCATCAAAGCGCCACGTTATAATGCAGTTTCCACCAGCGCGTTGATTCCATTAAACCCCGGTTTTTCCTCTTGCAGCCTTGCGGAGACAGTACAATGTTAAAAAAAGCGCGGACGAGTGCATGCAACATCCCACATTTGGGGGCTAAGCTCAGCTGATTGCTCAGCTGATTGTGGACGCCGGAAGTACCCTTGATGTCGGCCAGCGTGCCAGCAGCTGTTCTGTGACAGCTGACGACCGTGACCTCGCCGAGGCTGTTTTGTGAAGGCTGACTCCTGTGACCTCAGCCAAACCTCTTGTGACCTCAGCCTCAGCCAATCTCAGCCAAAAGTCACCCGCTCATGTGCCCATCGATCTCACCCAAAAGTCGCTCTCTCATGTGCCTGTCGATCTCAGCCAAAAGTCACTCTCTCATGTGCCTGTCGATCTCAGCCAAAAGTCGCTCTCTCTTGTGCCTGTCAATCTCAGCCAAAAGTCACTCTCTCATGTGCCTGTCGATCTCAGCCAAAAGTCACTCTCTCATGTGCCTGTCGATCTCAGCCAAAAGTCACTCTCTCATGTGCCTGTCAATCTCAGCCAAAAGTCACTCTCTCATGTGCCTGTCGATCTCAACCAAAAGTCACTCTCTCATGTGCCTGTCGATCTCAGGCAAAAGTCACTCTCTCATGTGCCTGTCGATCTCAGCCAAAAGTCGCCCTTTCCCGATCACTATTCGTTTGAGTGTCGCTTTCACCTTATGAACGTACCGTTACATTGGGTGACATGCCTTACTGATGCTGCAGACACCCTTGCACAAACCTGGCGGGCTAGACAAGATAGACCAGGACAAGAAGCACCCGGCCGAGCTGTGCGAGAAGTGCACCAAACTGGGCTACAGCTGCGTCTTGCACAACTCGAAGGAGTCGGTCGCGTCGCCTGCGGATGAGGAAGACGACTAGCCAACGGACAAGTGTTTCGGAGGGCCGCCTACCGGCGCGAATCGCAGAGATATGTGTTTGATTCAGAAGCCGGGTGACATCCTCTGACATTGTTAGTCATTCCTCCGGCGCTGTTGCTTCTGAACTAGTTTGAGATCATACCGGCGTCGTTCGTATGAGGTCAGTTTTGTATTCTGGAGTCGATCCCCTCGGATTTTTTCCGGGTGACGCAGTTAAATGAAGTGATATTTAGTAAGAGAAGAGCGTTCACTGAGAGATTATTCTGAGCCATATAGTTGTATAGGTTCATAGAGTTTTGTGAGCCATTTGATGCCTATCATCTGAAAAGGTCTATGTAAATGAGACTTATTAAGCGAATTGTGATGATGGTTCAGTGAAGTGATATCATGAGTCTGGAAAAGTGAAACGTGAGCGTATCCACTGATTAAACCACTAACTGTGGCGAAGAGCGTCATGGCTCCTCCAACACTCGAAATGTAGACCGCGTACCCCAGCCTCGAGCCCGGACTGGACAGACTGAGCATTGAATGAGTACGGAAGGGTAACTGTACTGAACCGTACCAATACTGATCAGCATGAGCTATCATCAATGATGATATGAAACGTACAACCCTGTTCAAGCGCCACTTAAAAGTCCGTGTGTGCACTTAAAGACAAGTCCACTTTGTGTTTGAAAACTGCACTTTGAGCTTGGCGAACACCTGCGCCCCTCTCCATGGGGTAGCCATTGCCTCTGTCTCGCAGTGACAACCGCAACGCCGTGTCTATGAAACCTCAGGATCAGCCGTCATTGCAGGGATATTTCGTGCCGCAAATACACCCTCCCTTGATGGCAATGCATTTGTATATACGCGCCATTCAAGTGATAGCTGTCTTGCTCAGTGACAGAGTCAGCAACGCTAGCGAGGACTTCGACCCGTCTGTACGATAATCGATTTTCTCTCTCCGCCACCAAGCTTGGAGCGATTTCTGTTCCAAAGGTGGCCCTGCCTGGAATCCAGCAAAGTCTTCGACGACCCTGGTTATTGATGATATGCATGCGGTCAAGACGCATGTGGTTGTTGATAAGAGCGGCACCATGTTATAACGCAGCAAGCTGTTTCATCGCATTTAACAACACAAAATAGGGTGCCGGCGGCTTTCACGGGGGCTGTTGGCCTAAAGATGGTCGCAAGCAGAGCCGCGCAGCACTGCGATTTTTCACTTGAAATCTAAGGCAATGCGAACGGGTGCGTGTTTCATCCTACAAATGGCCGGTCAAAACTTGAGCAAATGCTTTTGCAGAAATTTTAGCTTTCTGTATACCCTGGACAGCGATATTTGATGACTAACAACGCTGGGATGGGTAGACAGGTAGACACAATTGGTAACACTTTTGAAGGGGGTCATGGGCTACGATGATCAAGCCCACCCAGCAGCAGCGGTTAAATTGGGCGAAGCAAGGCGGCCTAGCGACGCTGAGGGTGCCATCTGTCCGCGCGCTCCTAGCGCCACGCGCGGCCACACCCACCTTAACTATCCAGCCGAATAGCAGCAGCGCAGTCCGTTGAAAATGCGTCGACGATGCCACAGACACGGGGCTCGTTTCTGCTTGTTACACGCCCTTCCTGCCAGGATGGGAGGCAGGCGACGCCAGAAAGCCTCCGCAGCTGAGTACA